ATGGTAACTCTTTTCCTTTGCTAATTACACTTATCAAATCTGCTTAATTCAACTAATTAATTATGCACACTAATCCATAAAGTTTATACTTTTAAGTTTGTTATCTCCAACATTCCTTTGTTCATTTTTTCACAATATTATTCCACTTTCTTAACAAATGTCGACATCGATGATATATATTGTTGGAATATTACTCGTGAGTTGTTCCACATTGATTTGATAGGGTAAATGAGTCTAGTTTATAAGCCTAGTGGGCTGCTTCTCTCATCGCCAATTGGTTTTGGGATGGAACGTCAGTAAAGTGCAACTAGACTCACCCTCTTATGGTGCGCTTCACTGTGTGGGACCGCACCATTGATGCCTCGAATATAAAAAATATGACATATATATAAAATATAGGGACGGGTGGAATATGGCGAATTGCGGCAATAAACGAGGCGGGAGGGTGGAAAGACCGAACGACGGTTGAGGACATGGATCTTGCCGTTCGAGCTGGTCTCAAGGGCTGGAAATTTCTCTACTTAGGTGACCTTCAGGTATATTATTAGTATTTATTATTCATGTAACTTGATGTCAGTCAACTTTGAAAGAAAAATTCAAATATGTTTAAAAAGTGAATAAATGTCATGATTGTGGCTAATAACATATATATATATATATTTGTGTTTTGGGTTAATTGCTAAATAAACCTTAACCATTTTGTGTTTGGCAATTTTATCCCAATCTTTGGGTAATTGCAATATAATCTCGACTTCAATTTACTTATTGCAAATTTGGGTGCAGAGTTATTGATTTTAGGGATTTGTGGATTGATTTTGCGTCCAAGTCTTCTATTGACACGAGTTTTTATGTCATCCACGTAGCAAGTTGACAATTTCCACGTATTCAATGTATATCCACACACAAAGCCGAAAATTCCATGTCAATGTAAGCTACCTGTGATGAGTATTCTCCTAGATCTTGAGTGAATCGGTAAATATGAGCTCCGATCTATTCGAACCGCCTTCAAATTGACCAGTTTTTTGAAGGTACAATTAGTTTTAGGTTCGACTTGCAATAAGTAAATTGAAGTCGAGATTATATTGCAATTACCCAAAGATTAGTATAAAATTGCCAAACGCAGAAAGGTTAAGGTTTATTTAGCAATTAACCCTTGTGTTTTTGTATGACATAGGTGAAGAGTGAACTTCCAAGTACATTTAAGGCCTTTCGTTTCCAGCAGCACAGGTGGTCTTGCGGTCCGGCTAATCTCTTTCGCAAAATGGTTATGGAAATTGCTACTAACAAGGTATTTGCATATATTACTGGACTTTAATGGTATCATGTAACAACGACAACTAATGTTTTTCTATATCTCTGTTATATATGTGCAGAAAGTGACGCTTTACAAGAAGTTTTACGTGATCTACAGTTTCTTCTTTGTCCGAAAGATCATAGCCCATATGTTCACCTTCTTCTTTTATTGCGTTGTGTTGCCATTGACGATTCTTGTACCGGAGGTTGATGTCCCTAAATGGGGAGCCATTTACATTCCATGCATAATCACAACCCTCAACTCTGTTGGCACTCCAAGGTACTCTTTTAATTAACTACCTCTTCTTCAAATTCCAAGTGTCGTAAAATCGTATGGCTCTCTAATGTATATTGCATTTTTTATCGTTTTCTATTCAACGTTCTTTTAGTTTCATGATTCGTTGCATTTTGCCATTAGTTAGACAACCTAAATCGACATGTTTTGAGTATGAAAAGTTTAGAGTTGGGCAAGAAAAAACAAAATATTGAAGATTTTTGTGATTTGGAAAGATATTAATCTTCAAGGCCATATTTGTAACTATCCATTCTCTTTTTTACTTTGATTATAATTCATTGTCATTGCCTTGTACTGATCAAAATCATTCCATTTTCAGGTCATTCCATTTGTTGTTCTATTGGGTCCTTTTCGAGAATGTCATGTCCTTCCATCGAACAAAAGCCACGCTTATCGGCCTATTGGAGGCCAAGAGAGTCAATGAATGGGTTGTGACCGAAAAACTTGGAGACACCCTCAAGAACAAATCGAAAAACAAATCGATTGCACCTAAGAGGTCCTTATCCAAATTCCTTGGAGATAGGTAATTATTCACATTGTCATTCTACTATAGCTCTTTTCATCCAAACTTGGTACTTATTCATTATATGAGTAATAATACGGGTTAGTAACAAATTGTTATTCTAAAAAGGTATGATGCTCATAGATTAAAGCTTGTTTACTAACGATATTTTTTCATTTTTTTGTTCAGAATTTTGGTACACGAGCTCGGTTTTGCCATGTTTCTATTCATATGCGGATGTTATGACTTTTTGTACGGGAAGAACAATTATTTCATATACCTTTTCCTACAAGTCATCACTTTTACGATTGCGGGATTTGGCTATGTTGGCACCATTGTCCCAAGCTCTTAATTAATTCCGGCATTTGGGTAAAAATGCGCCAAACGATCGTTGCATGTGTTTCTATATATACTATACAATTATGATTTATGTATACTACAGTTCGAGTATGTTTGGTAAACAACATATATTTCATCTTGATCGATAGAAAATTGGAGGTGTTATTTTGACCGAAAACTCGTTCCGGGCTGCCGAAAAAACGAGCACCAGATAGGTACACAGTCGAGAAAAAGGTTGAAGGAGCATCAAGATGTATATGATTGTGTAATAGAGTTAGACAAGTAATGTGTTGTTTTTTCTTCTTTTTAATCTATTTTATTTAGCTTAGAGTATTTGTTGTGTGACATCGTGCTACATTTTAGTCGTGTAACATTATTGATCAGCTTGGTGAAAAGGAACTAAGCTGTGAGTTATTGTTGTAATGCATATAGTTCGTACTGAAAGGTACTTGCAATTTTGCAGCTTGTTACTTTTAAATTTTAATAGAGGTTTCTAATATTCAAAAACTGTGGTTTCGCATATATTTGTGAAAATAGTTATTTTCACCGCGTTTTTGAAGTTACTACTAAGTTTTTCACACCGTTCAATAAAAAGCTAAGTTTTTCACTCCAGAAAGTGCGAAAGACATTGTGTGATGAATATGCGACAATTGCGTAATGACATTATGCAAAATTAAAAGTGCGAAGGCATTCGCATATCCTTTCGCACTTTATGGGGTGAAAAAAAAAGTTAAAGTGCGAAGACATTGTGCGATGAATATGCGACAGTTATACAATTAATATGTTACAGTTATGCAGGATGGGAAAAAAAATTTTCCTTAACAAAACACCAAACAAACTAGAGTGATGCTACATAGCCATCCTCCATTACAACATGGTTTACAACCATGTGTAATGGAGGCATTGAAAAATGTGCATTATTCCATTTTTTAATGCCTCCATTACACATGGTTGTAAACCAAGTTGTAATGGAGGTTGGCTAAGTAGCATAATTCAACAAACTAATACCACTAGCGAGTAAGTACCTTTTTTTTTTTTTTTTTTTTCCGGAACATTAGAAACTTTTACAGATAAAACCACACAAATGTTCAAAGGTACATCCCCTAACTGAATAATACAACCAAAAGCTAAATAAATTGGGAGGCCAGAATTTAAGTCCGTCTAGAAGCAACACTAGCAATGCTAGAAACCAAAACACAACTCAGGACACTACAGACACGACAAACACTAAAACAACAAAACTGCAAAGCTCCCAAAAGGAGAATAAACAAGACGATCCCAAAGGGATAATACCCGCTCACACTCGGGCTTATATAGAGGTCAATGGCCCAAACAAAAAACACGAGACGAAACAGACAAAGCAAACGAAACGCACCTAAAATCAAACCTAAGCAACAACAACTAAATAAACGATCCCGCCCTCAGCAGAACGCCGAAATGAAACAGTGGACTAGAGATGAGTCCTAAGAGAGCTCCGAAGCACAAGAACCACGCCCGCCACTGCCAAATGGGAACATTTTTAAAATTCCATTTTATAAATCAACTTTTCCAAAAATCTCTATTCCATTGCTCCTTTAAAATGGATTTTTGGGATCCCGAAGTCCTTTTTTTTATTCACCAAAATAAATTATTCTTAAATGAGCATTTGCATTAAAACAAGGAAAATGCTACATGTACATAATAAATGTACATAAAGGTGTACATAACACTCACATGGAGTAGGATCCACTTGATTTGGTATTTTTAGTGGGTCCCACTCAATGTGAATGTTATGTACACCCTTATGTACACTATTATGTACTTGTAGTATTACTCTTAAAATAAACTATTTGGTTAAAAACTCATTTTCAAATTCAAAATACAATATCTGTCACGCTAACTAGTATTTTTTTCAAACTATTATATTTGTTTTCAAACACAAAATTTTATTTTTATAATATTGTCTTTCACTTCAATTTTACATATATATTTTGAATATTTAACAACTTGACAAAGTAACCCTATATATCGATAATTTTTGCACCTAAAAAAATTAAATATTTAAAACAAATATTAACTTTGGAAATTATTTTCTACATATCATATTTTCTGAGTTTATTACAAATATTTTATTCATTTTCTCTTTTAATAGATAAATTATTAAAAGGGTTGGTAGAAATATTTTGGAAATATTTATACATAATGTAATTATTTGGTATTCTTATAAATTTATAATATTATAATTTATATAGATAGCTTTATATATTAACCATTACATTACATCAATAAAGTTAAATATATAAAAAGTACTATATCCGATCAATAAATGGGGTGTATTATTTAGAATTTCTAAAGACTTAAAAAATTATAGTATATTTATTTTAAAGTTTAAAGTCTTGGAAAATCGTGAGTTATTTAGAGACTATGATTTGTTAAGATTTTTCGGGTATTCTAGAGAAAAAAAAAATAAATGAAATCTCACTCCAAATCTCACCTTCAAATTTATGATTTCACGTGATTCCTCCTAAATTTGAAAATATTAAGAAGATGTATCCAATAAGGATTTCAAGTGACATTTTGAGACTTTTTAAGATTTTTATATTTTGAAAGAATTATGTGAAATTTAAGTCTGAAAGTGAGATTTTAGATGGATTTCGTGTAAGATTTTTTCCTCAAAAATTCCACAAACGCTAAAAAATCATAACAAATCCTTGTATCAATTAAGTTAAATACCTCGAAATTTTGTAAGACTTGTTAAAATCACATCTAAATACTCTACTTTTAAAAACTCTTAAAAAATTTTACCAAATCTAAATTGAATACACTATAATTTCTAAAATTGTAAAAATTCTTTAAAATTCTCAACTGAATACACTCTCTTAAAGTCTCAAACCTAAAAAAACCACCGAAATCTCAAATGAATACACCCTAAAATCAAATTAGCCTAAAAGAATGTCGATACTAGCATCTCATTGGATCATTTTGAAACGTGTTAAGAATTACACGTCTAAAAATGCAATAATTTCAATTGAGTTTGCACAAGTGTATCAGACAAACTGTATATTTTCTTAGTAACAATTAACCTCAATGACTTCGAATTAACATGTTTAAACACAATCTCAATGACTTTTTAGTTACCCATCAATGTTTATAACATTATATTTTTAAGATAATTTTCATGGCCAAACATAATTTTCAAGAGAATACTTCAACAATAAAAAGCAATAGGCTCAAAACTCCAAGCATACAATTCGATAATAATAAAATTGAAAAAGAAAAAAAAAATCAAAAGGGGAAGTAAAATGTGATGGATTTGCCAAAATAGAACCAGGCTTGCGTATTCCTAGTCCCTGCTAAAAATCCACCATACTACCATAGCCAAACAGCAATATCCCAAATAAACAAAAAATTTGCTTCAATCTTTAATCACTCATTTCCCTCCTCGTTTACCCTTGCCGTTCTTAGAGTTAAACCTGAAAAATACAAAGGAGTTGTACGTGTCTACCGTTAAAACAGAAATAGGTAACAAGTAGCTTAAGTTGGCTAAAATTGTGTTCGTTTATTAATCATACTTGTTCCCAGATTTGCCAGAAAACTGACCACCACCAGCTTTAGGACTTTGTTTTGATTTGTTAGGAGCTTTTCCGGCTGGAGCTTTAGTGGCGGCAGCAGGTTTTGTAGGTAGAAGAGTTGCATTCTGACCCTTCTTGCCTGCATAAATTTGAATTTATTAAGTATACTTAACTTCAATCCAAGCAACAATATTTGTCGGCCAAAATCAAGTGAACAAATATTCAGACTAAGTAATTATTTTTGGAACACCAAGGTCATTTGCCAGGTGTTCACAAATATCAACGGACATATGAAGAGTGAAACTGAAACCTGTCTTATCAGGGGTAGAGGCTTTAGCCTTCTTGGTGGCAATAACTGGAGCTTGTTCAGCAGGCCTTTTCTTTGATTGCTGCAAAATTCGGCAAAACAATAAAAATATGTGAGGTGTGAGTTACTAAAGCAAATGCATATAAACACTTGAAAAGGCCAGAGCTGTACCTTTGGGGTAGGCTCTTCTTCCTCCTCATCACTGGAATCATCCTCCTCTTCATCAGAATCCTGAAAACACAAATCATCAAGGTTTAACTCATATTATATCCCATCCACAATTGAATTATCACAGCAATTAACAAGATAAAAATCAAAATTGCCTTTCCTTTACTAATCCCCGCGCTAAAATTCAGCAATTGGCGAAACAAATGGTGAATACTCAAAAATAAAGCAAACAAAAAGCCAAATTGATATATGTGCAGAGGCATTAGAAGAAACAAAAACATACTTCACCAGACTCATCATCACTAGAGGCCATTTCATCATCATCAGCAGCATCAGAGTCATCTTCACTATCATCAGAATCAGGGTTCTCCTCCTCCTTCACAGGCTCGGGAGCAGCCTTTTCGGCCTTAGCTTCATTGGTGGCAGCTGCAGCACTGTTAGCAGCCTTAACATCCTCGGTCTTGGGCTTAACATCGCCTGAAAAGTTTAGCAGTTGAAGAAAAAGTAGAAAATTAATTCACATGTAATTTTCCAACCTCCATTGTATTTAAGGGGAGTTTACTACCATTATCCTGATTTTCCAGTTGCTCGTCCTCAGACACATCCTCAGAATCATCAGAGGAGAGATCATCACTGTCTACAATATGGAAAACATGATAATACAGTTAAGATTAAACAAATACTCCTCAAAAGGCCAAGAAACAAAAGGATGAACATAATATTTAGCATCAACTGGGTATAGAACAAGCATATTCACCTGAAATGGGCTCTTCAGCAATATAGCCCATGAAGTACACACTTCCTTGTTTCAGATCATGTGAGAGTTCAAATTGCTTCTCGAAAACCAAATCAAACATCACCTGAGGCCTGTCTTCAGCCGAAAGAGACCCAATAACAAAGTCCTTATTGTCAACTTTGAGACGAAGGGAAACTCTCTTAGCTTCTTTGACATCCTTAACCTCACCCAATGAGGCCTACAAAAACAAAGAGATACAATTTTAACCAAAAATTAACTTTGAAATAATAAAAGGGCAACAGATTGAAAAGGTGCCCACTTGAAGAAGAACAGCACCCTTACCTGTGAGATATGAATCAAATATCCATATTTGGGTTGGACCTTAAACGGTTCCCCAGGTTTCACTTCGACACCTGATGCGTATGTGTATCAGTAAATCGACGAATTAGAAACCACGAAAAGATTAATAAAAAATGCAGGATTGGCCTTAACTCTTCAAACCCAGAAAACCAAATAAACATGGAAGATTATTTCCACGACAGTTGACATAATCTTATAAAACAAATACATAACCGCAAAACTACTACAATCTATCCATGTACACCTATAACTCCTAAACCATGAAACGAACAAGGAAAAGGAACATAATGACTACAGTAATGACTTTGATGGATTGGAGAGGCGCAAACATGTATAAACAAACTGTTCATGAGGCAATAAAGAAGCAGATATCCAAACATAAGATAGACCGTTAACACTATGAAGCTAAACAAATCCAGCAAAAACATAGGAAAAAGCTTTAAATTACATAAATCCAAGATACATCAGACATTATACATCTAAGGGACATGAGATCCTTAAAAAAAAAAATTAATCAAGAACAAGAAACGTACCCCAAAACTCCATTGTTAATGAAATTGGCAAATGAGAGATAGCTACTCTGTTAGTTTGTAAGGAGGCTAAGGTCTGAGGGGTTCTGCAAGGATTATATAGAAGGAGACGACGACTATAATAGGGTTTATAGTCTGAGCGCCCACAACTAGGGTTTTGAAATTAGGTAATAATATATTCTTATTTCCCCTTTTACTATTGTGTATAAAATTCTAGTGGGCCGGAGGTTTTATTGGTTGGGCCTTGCTTGTTACTCAAAACACCATCAATTAGACTTTTTATTACATAATAAATATCAATCTATAAATAATAGCAATATTAAACAATTTTTCCCTTTTATTTGCAGATATGCCACAAAAGTTATTATAGCGATCATTTTATTAAATCTGCGGTCCTTTCTCTTCCTTGCAAATTAACTATAGCAAATGAAAAAAAAAAAAAAAACTCAGATCTAGACCGCATCGCCCACCTTCTCCTTCCGGCGGCCGCGCTTGCCCGACTAGGCCCTGGTCGCGCTTGGCCTAGTTATTCATCACCGCAAGCCCCCGAGCGTGCTGATGGTGGACGAGTTGTCGTCGTTCTCCACCTTCTCCCCGTCACCGTCAGATGATTCTCCGTCGCAGAAGTTGGTGTCATATCCGGATTTCATGCGTTTCTAACGTAATCTCTGAGACCGTACGACGACTTCTGGCGGTCGATAGTGGAGACGACGGGCACGGGGATGGAGGATGGGGCGCATGGATTGGTAATTTTTGGAGTTTTCTGTTTTTATAAATAATGTGACACCTAGATCTAGTGTGTGCCCAAACTCGACAACTATTCGATGTATATTTTCTGTATATATATGCTTTATATGTGTAGTATATTTTTTTTTTTTTTTTGGTTGTTTGTGTAGCTGCAAATATATTTTGTATATTTTTCTATATATACTATTTATATTTTCATATGTACATTAAAATATTTGATGTATATTTTCTGTATATCTTATGTATATATATACTTTATATGTGTAGTATATTTATACTTTTTTTTGTTGTTTGTGTAGTTGCAAATATATATACTGTATATTTTTTGTATATATACTATTTATATTTTTCATATGAACATAAAAATGTATTTGTCATGTATAATCCGTCATAAACGAAGACTGGGATAAAAAATGCTGACATAAAAATATTTCTCTCTCCAGACTTGCATCCCGTCAGTTACGGGATCTGTTATGGCAAGTTATTTGTTGCTAATTATATTGTACGTATATAAATAATTTGATTAGGTTTGGTATAAATGCAATTAAGTTTTATATTTGGTATATATGCAAATCCTCCCTATATATAATTCCCGAATGTGTTGAGCCTATGTGGCTACTTCTGGTGCTTCGTAATCCTATTTGGCGAAGAATCATGTTTCGTAATTAGGTTCGGACAAATAATATTGATATATTAATAATTAATAATCTAAGTTCGGACATTCCATAAATATTATTTATCTAACTTAGGTATTTTAATATCACTTGTACTAATATAACCCTTTAATTATTTGTAATTTTATATAATGATGCACTAAGTGACTAATATATCCCTGACTTTGATTTGTTTCCTTGAATTAGCTATTAAATTGTAAATGTATTTTAAAAGTTGATAACTTTTGTATTTCTTATCGGTTTTACATATATTATATATCAAATTAATCATCTTTGATGATCTTCGATTTGACATCCATATTATATATATGAAATAAATAAATTATATTTATCTTGATAATAATAAAGAATAATATTATTTATTAAAATGTATTAGAAAAATAAAATTATTTATCACTTGATATATTTATTAAAAAAATTTATTAGAAAAATAAAATTATTTATCACTTGATATATTTATTTTAATGTAGTTATATGTTGTAAGTTAAAAAATATTATAATATGACACATGTAAGTCGCACAAATAAAAAATGTCATACTAAATATATATATATACTTTTGTAAAAGTTATTTAAAATTTCAACTACTTTTTCTCATTAATTTTAGATTTTAAGAAAAAATTAGCAAGCACCCGTGTAAGGTGTTGTACTAGTAAAAGTGATTCATTAAAGCAGAAGTGTAAATTAGCCTTGATTATTAGACCGAACTACGTTAGAGGAGTTTCCAACGGCCCCACATCTTTTTTTTTACACTCTCACCCATCAATTATAACCTTTAGCAAATTTATCAAATCTTACAAATTTATTTAGAGAATTTGCACCCATTACTATTAGATATAATCTACTCTCTCTTATTCATAATAAGTGTCGTTTTAGGAAATTGCATAATTATTAATAATATTTTTTTTTTGCCAATAATAACCTTCATTAATGAGGATAGAGATGAAAGTTTTGAGAAAAGATGAAGAGTATGAAAAGATGCAGTGTATTTATTAGCTAGATGAGAGTAATAATGTAAAAATATGTACAAAATATCTAAAACGACATTTATTTTGTTAATAGTTGATAATGTCAAAATGTCATTTAAAAAGAATAGGAGGTAGTATATTACACTTACACACACATTATATACTTATATATAAAACTATCAAATTAAATAAAAAAATATTACAACTATACCTAAATGAAACTGCTGCAATTAATTGAGGATATGATTTATCCTTAACGATTCAATATCATCCCAATTCAAAAAAAATATCCCATTATCTCTCTTTTCTTCCACCATATTACTTTCAAGTCAATACATTTGAAAATTTACCAAAACAAAAGGGAAGGGGAATGCCTTCCACAAAACTGTAGGTCGTCAACCTCCAAGACGACGGCCCAAGCGAATGAAGGGAGGAGAGAAATCTCGTTGGGCCATATGATATGTAGCAAACAAAGAGAATGAAGCGACGATTTCTGAAGGTTGATGGTGGAGATGGAGGACGCATGAGAAGGGGACGGGGACGGCCGGCGCGTGGATTGGGAATTTCTAGAGCTTTTTAATGGCGTTATTGATGGGAAGGTTCTGGCGAGTAGAGCGGGGAAGACGGTACTTGAGTTGGATCCATGCTCTATCGTTTGTTGTCTACCATCGATGTGAGAAATCGGGAGTCGTCGGCGTCTTTAGGCGGCATGCAGTGGACAACAACGACTTCAGGCGGCGTGCATAGAAGATGGTACAACCCTTCATCGGTAACAGAGGGTGAGTGATGCGAAAGAGATTAGTGATTATAGATATTTTATTTGCCTAACAAAAATTGTACATAATTTATATATTATTTTATTTATTCTGCCTTTTCAGTATATGTTTTGGATGAAAAAACTTCTCAGAAGATAATTGTTGATGACTTGATGTGCTTGATTCGTAGATAGATAGTTTTCATTTTGTATAAGTTGCAAGTATATTTTGTGCATATATGGAGTATATGTTCTGTATAATATAAGGGCTACCTTATATGTATGTATGGTTTATATTGATAAA